AGTGTTCCCTTCTTGGACCCTTCTTGGGGCTGCCTTGTGGGGCCTCTTGGGCCGCCTTTGGGTGCTTCGGGGGCCGTCATAGGGGCTCTCCTGAGCCGCGCTGTGGCCCCTCTGGGGGGCTCGTGGGCCGTGTTGGGGCGGTCCTGGGGGCCTCTTGGGCCGTCTCGGAGAATGTTGAGCTCGAAAATCGGGGGTGGACAGAACCCCCAACAGTGACACGTCGATTAGTGAATTGTTCGTGTTCGGTTCTCGAGAGGGCGCCGTGGGCGTTATTTTCCAGGCCTGCGCCCACCAGGTTTGGGCCTCAGGTCGTTTTCACTAAACCACGTTTTACTGTCGAACAACGTACGGAACATCACTGATGTTGGCCTCGGGGCCCTCTTGGGAAGGCTCTTGGGGTTCTCTTGGGGCGCTCAGGAGGCATCTTGGGCCGTCTTGGGGCCAGCTTGGGCGTCTTGGTGTGATCTTGGGGCGTATCGGGGCCCTCTTGGACCGTGTTGGGGCCTGGCCAGGGCCCTCCTGGCCCGTCTTGGAGCCCCCTCGGGTCGGAAACAAATCATGCAGCAGGCCGCGGGAAGCCCCCGGCACGCCGCGACAAAGCCCCGAGAGAGGTGATGTTTTCGGGTCTGGGCCCCGTAGAGGCTCCTCGGGAGTGAGGACTGAGGCCCAGAGGATTCAGCAACGGACCTGAGGCCACGCCCACTCCGTGCCCAGCGGCACGGTGGCGGATATAACTTGAGGATATCTTGAGATCTCCTGAGGATCCTTGCTGGAAACAAAAACGTGCGACGCGCGACAGTCACGACCGCCTCTGATCATCGAACATGTATACGCGTTTTGCCAGTCGTTATCCAAACCTACGATTTGGCAATACAGTGCGCAAGACTACAGCACTAACAAGCACGATCCCGCTGGTGTTCGGGGTAAGGATGGCTCACGTATCGATTGGCCACTTCAGTTCGAGCTCAGCATCCTCCCCCTCTCCCTCGTCCACATCCTTCTATTGTTTCATCCTCCCTCGTCTCATCTCCCAGGCGCTTCCGTTGGGCAGACGGGCTCTGATTCACTGTCACGCTCTGCCCCTGCCATCAGGAGCAGGAGATGCGCCGCCTCGACGTTCTCGAGAGGAGCTCATCAGCTGATCTCGCGCTCCGCACGCGGGTGAGGGGGGTGTAACAGAATTAAGGCATACGGAAGGGCAGGATGGGAGACAGGGGGATTGCGAAATGTGCTACATGCAGCTCGGTTCGACCCCGTCGGAGGGCAGGTCCCTCGATGCACGGCCTCTACAGGCGCCGGGGTGGCGCCAGAACAACTAGTTGCATGTCATGGATTCGCTGCCCTTCCTGGGTTATTTCCCCCCGTTCGTCTTCCCCGAGGTAAGAAACAGCAGACGGAGGACAGTGACGAGAGACACAGACAGGAGGGATAGGAGCATCGAGAAGAGCAGGAGAGGGGTGATCTATGTATATATATATATATATATATATGTATGTATATACACATATATGTATATATATATATATATATATATATAATTATATATATATATATATGCCGGCGGAAGAGGATCGGGGCCGCTAGGAGTGTGCCTGCGCCCCCCATGGGGGCTCCGGGGCTCACTTTCCCTGTGTTTTGACAGGGTTTCGGCGTTCCAGGGCCTCCGAGGCGCCAGCGGCGACCCCAGACCTCTTGTTGACCTTCGGACGGGGGCCCAAAACCAGCCCCAGAGCGCTCCAAGACGGCCCACGACGCCTCCTACACCGCACCAAGACGGCCCCAGAGAGCTCCAAGCGGCCCCCACGACGGCCCAAGAGGGCCCCAAGACGGCACAAGAGGCACCGAAAACGATCCAAAGGAGTTCCGACACGGACCCCGAGAGGTGAAAAAAGAAGCTCACAGAGGCCCTCAACATGCCCAGGCCGCCCAAGGGGCCAAAAAACAACCCGAGATAGACCAACACATGCCCCAAGAGGCTTGAACAACTGTGTCTCACCCTGCTTCTCGTCCGCCTTATAACCTTCCTGCTCCTCTTTTCTTTCTGGTTGTCGAGCTCTCTCCCGGTCTCAGGAAATATAAATAGATTCCCGGAACTGCCAGGAACAGCATTCCTCGAGAATGTTTTTTCCCAACCATCCTGTGGTGCTGGGTCCTCGTTTTGAAGAGACGGTGCCCCGCGTTCCCTTCTCCTCCCGCTGCCCCCTCCCTCCTGCCATCATCATCATCATCATCATCATCATCATCATCATCATCACCAACATCATCATCATCATCATCATCCCCCCTCTTCCCTGCGTTTCACCCACCCAGTACAGCGTTTCGTAGCCCCACAGGAGCTCCACCGAAGGCCCCAGTACCCGCGCCCGCATGCGTCACCCACACCCAATTCGGCACACCCTCACACGCTTCGTGGCTCCATAGGGAGCTCCACCGAAGGCCCCAGTGCCCGCGCCCGCATGCGTCACCCACACCCATTTCGGCACACCCCTCACACGTTTCGTGGCTCCATAGGGAGCTCCACCGAAGGCCCCAATGCCCGCGCCCGCATGCGTCACCCACACCCATTTCGGCACACCCCTCACACGTTTCGTGGCTCCATAGGGAGCTCCACCGAAGGCCCCAGTGCCCGCGCCCGCATGCGTCACCCACACCCATTTCGGCACACCCCTCACACGCTTCGTGGCTCCATAGGGAGCTCCACCGAAGGCCCCAGTGCCCGCGCCCGCATGCGTCACCCACACCCATTTCGGCACACCCCTCACACGTTTCGTGGCTCCATAGGGAGCTCCACCGAAGGCCCCAGTGCCCGCGCCCGCATGCGTCACCCACACCCATTTCGGCACACCCCTCACACGTTTCGTGGCTCCATAGGGAGCTCCACCGAAGGCCCCAGTGCCCGCGCCCGCATGCGTCACCCACACCCATTTCGGCACACCCCTCACACGTTTCGTGGCTCCATAGGGAGCTCCACCGAAGGCCCCAGTGCCCGCGCCCGCATGCGTCACCCACACCCATTTCGGCACACCCCTCACACGTTTCGTGGCTCCATAGGGAGCTCCACCGAAGGCCCCAGTGCCCGCGCCCGCATGCGTCACCCACACCCATTTCGGCACACCCCTCACACGTTTCGTGGCTCCATAGGGAGCTCCACCGAAGGCCCCAGTGCCCGCGCCCGCATGCGTCACCCACACCCATTTCGGCACACCCCTCACACGCTTCGTGGCTCCATAGGGAGCTCCACCGAAGGCCCCAGTGCCCGCGCCCGCATGCGTCACCCACACCCATTCGGCACACCCTCACACGTTTCGTGGCCCCATAGGGAGCTCCACCGAAGGCCCCAGTGCCCGCGCCCGCATGCGTCACCCACACCCATTTCGGCACGTTTCCCTTCAAGGCCCCAGTGCCCGCGCCCGCATGCGTCCGTGGCCGTGGCCCCATAGGGAGCTCCGCCGAAGGTCCCAGTGGGTGTGCCCGCATGCGTCCCGCACACCCATTTCGGCACACCCCTCACACGTTTCTTGGCCCCATAGAGCTCCACCGAAGGCCCCAGTGGGTGTGCCCGCATGCGTCCCGCATACCCATTTCGGCACACCCCTCGTACGTTTCGTGGCCCCGTAGGGGGCTCCACCGAGAAGATATTCACAATTGCAGTGTTCACAATTGCATATGGTTGGGTCCTTCGCCAGGATAATTTGTTCTTCGCCGCCTTGCTCCATCGTTATTTCCTGATATACCGCCTGCTGCGGCTGCTCTTCATGCTACTCCCGCACCTCCCCCTTCCCCCTCTTCCCGCTCCCGTTTTCCTCCTTCTCACCCCCCTGTTTGTGGAGCTCCCTCCCGGTCTCTCGACATATGTTCCCGGATCGCCTGCCGGGAACATATTTTCTTTGTTTGCGTTCAAGTGTTTCTTTTGTTCCCAACCATCCTGTGGTGTTGGGTCTTCGTTTTGAAGAGACGGTGCCCCGCGTCTCCTTCCTCCTCTCCTCCTCCGCCTCCTCTCCCCTCTTATCATCCTCATCGTCATCATCATCATCATCATTATCATCATCGTCATCATCATTATCATCATCATTATCATCATCATTCTTCTCCTCTCCTCTCCTCTTCTCTCCTCTCCTCTCCTCTCCTCTCCTCCTCTCCTCTCCTCCTCTCCTCTTCACCCACCCAGTACACCGCTTCGTGGCCCCATAGGGAGCTCCACCGAAGGCCCCAGTGCCCGCGCCCGCATGCGTCACCCACACCCAATTCGGCACACCCCTCACACGTTTCGTGGCTCCATAGGGAGCTCCACCGAAGGCCCCAGTGCCCGCGCCCGCATGCGTCACCCACACCCATTTCGGCACACCCCTCACACGTTTCGTGGCCCCATAGGGAGCTCCACCGAAGGCCCCAGTGCCCGCGCCCGCATGCAGTCGGCACACCCCTCACACGTTTCGATAGGGAGCTCCGCCGAAGGCCCCAGTGCGCCCGCATGCGTCACCACACCCATTTCGGCACACCCCTCACACGCTTCGTGGCTCCATAGGGAGCTCCGCCGAAGGCCCCAGTGCCCGCGCCCGCATGCGTCACCCACACCCATTTCGGCACACCCCTCACACGTTTCGTGGCTCCATAGGGAGCTCCACCGAAGGCCCCAGTGCCCGCGCCCGCATGCGTCACCCACACCCATTTCGGCACACCCCTCACACGTTTCGTGGCTCCATAGGGAGCTCCACCGAAGGCCCCAGTGCCCGCGCCCGCATGCGTCACCCACACCCATTTCGGCACACCCCTCACACGTTTCGTGGCTCCATAGGGAGCTCCACCGAAGGCCCCAGTGCCCGCGCCCGCATGCGTCACCCACACCAATTCGGCACACCCCTCACACGTTTCGTGGCCCCATAGGAGCTCCGCCGAAGGCCCCAGTGCTGCCGCCTGCATGCGTCACCCACACACAATTCGGCACACCCCTCACACGTTTCGTGGCCCCATAGTAGAAGCTCCGCCGAAGGCCCCAGTGCTGCCGCCCGCATGCGTCACCCACACCCAATTCGGCACACCCCTCACACGTTCGTGGCCCCATAGGATCTCCGCCGAAGGCCCCAGTCCTCCTCCTCCTCCTCCTCCTCCTCCTCCTCCGCCTCAAGCGCCGCGACGACAGCCTCACGGGGGACCTCGCGGGCCCGCTGGTGTTCATCGAGCCCCGCACGTCGGAGCCGTTCACCTTCCGCACCTCCAAGGTCACGCGGACGGGCTTCCCGTTCTCGCACGGCAGGGTCATCACCACGGTGGCGTGCCAGGGGCGCACCATGCGCGAAGGCGACGGGGCGGGGGAACGGCGCTCCGGGGACGGCCAGACCTCCGGGGCGCGAGCAGTCCGCGGCCAGATCTCGGTCCTGTGGACTCTCGCCCTGGGCCGTCGGCTGCCCGGCGCACTGCTCCCTCGGCCGAGTCGCCCAGGTGCGATCCTGGACTGCGGCCGCCACGAGGTCGGGAACGGCAAGAAGGAGGACGACGACTGGTGGCTGGAGCTCTATGTGCTGCTCTCGCGCGCCACGCGCCACGAGGACCTCCTGCTCATGCGGGCGCCGCGCATCGAGTTCTTCCTGGCAGGACCGCCGGAGGGCCTGCGAAAGCAGCTGGAGCAGTTTGCAGCGCGCACGAAGCGGTGCAGGAGGGAGGCGACGGCCCTCGCCAGGGAGCTCGGCTTCACCGAGTTTATCCGCGAGGCCTGACCTGAGGAGCGCCCCCCCCGAGCCGCGCCTTCTCTCGACTGCCCGCATATCTGTTCGGCCTCGCGCCGCGGACGACCCGCGCGCGTCGCTGGGACCCTCTCGGGGCGACCAGCGCGCGTCGCGGGGATTCCGCGCGGCGCTCTGCTCAGCGCCTTGCTCGCCCGTCGTCGCTCTGCCCAGCGGCCGGAGCCTCGCCCGCAATCAGCTGGCCGGCTAGCTCTCTGTGCTCCGCGCAGCGGACGACCTGCGCGCGTCGCTGGGACACCTCCGCGGCGACCTGCGCGCGTCGCGGGGACTCCGCGCTGCTCTGCGCCCGCAGCTTTGGATTTTTGGAGCGCGCAGGCAAAGAGGGGGGAAAAGAAGGGGCGGCAGCGGGTGCGATCCCCGTGAGGGGCGTGCCGACATGGGCGTCG